GAGAGAGAGAGAGAGAGAGAGAGAGAGAGAGAGAGAGAGAGAGAGCCTACAAAGTATGATTTGTGTTCCCTAATGTCCTTCAGTGAGGATCCATCCACTGCAAGAGTCCCATCCCTGTAAGACACTGTCTTCCCTCCTCCCGGCGGCAATCAATTGCCAAAAGTTCCTTAGGTTGGATTGGGATTTTTTTACCCAGTTCTCCATGTCTATGCTGGAATTTGGTCTGTTCTAAGCCTTCCTTTCAATTTTGGGAGGTGACACATTGATACAAAGATACAACTAAGTGAATAAATCAAAGACACAGTCTCCTGATCCACTGTAAAGATCATAGATTAAGGTAAGCTTTTAAAGACATGTGGCCAAAAATCAATGGAAGAGGCAATCCCATAATACCAATCCATACCTTACAGATTCAGGTGATGTCAAGGCAGGTAAAAACTGAAACGACGGACACATTCATTCAGTCATCCAATCAATCAAGTTTGTACCTTATTGATGGCCGAGTGAGTATAATGTGCTAAGGAAAACTTTGATGTGTGTGTCCGTGTGTCCGTGTGCCTGCATGCCTGTGGGGGGTACCATGTACACATGTGTACACACTCGTGTGGAGGCCCAAAGTTGATGTTGAGTGCCTTCCTCAATCTCTCCATTTTGTGTAATGAGGGATGCTCTCTTGCTGAACCTGGAACTCACCAATTTCACCTAGTTTAGCTAGCCAGTTTGCTCTGGGACTCCTGCCTCTGTCTCCTAAGCGCTGAGATTAAAGGCTGCAACCATACCTGAGCAACTCTTATGTGGGTTCTGGAGATCCAAACTCTGGTCCTTACACACACATGGCATGTGATGTGTCCACTGAGCCAACACCTCAGCCACTAGTCCTTGTTTTATTTTATTTATAAGTTGGTATTTTACATTATTCATTGCTGACTTTTCTTTGAACTCAATTTAATATGCTGCTAGTTCCCTCAGAATAACACCTGTACAATTTCCATGACTAATACATAAGCCTTCTCTCTGTCATCCCTAACAAAGACCTTTTTTTTTTTTGAGACAGTGTATCATGCATCCTAGGCCGGACTGGCACTAGCTGAAGTGCCCTTGAACTTCTGACCCTCTTGCTATCACCTCTCAAGTGTTTGAATTACAGACACGTGCCATTGCGCTTGGTTTTATTTGGTACTGAGGACTGAACCCAGGGCCACAGGCATGCTAGACAAGCCCTGAACCAGTAAGCTACATCCACAGCCTTCAGATTTCCAGAGCTGGAAAGCTCTCCGAACTTGAGTATCCATGCAGCAATGAGAGTAAGAAGCCCTTACAGAGAGAGGGGCTTGGGGGTAGGGATTACTGAGCTCTCCGCCCCACTTCATCTGAATGAGCATCCCTCTACATCCCCAACAGCAACATTTCACTATTTCCTTCGCTTTTGGTTTAGGCTAATTTCTTGTAAACCTCACCTGCCGGGAAACAAGTTTTTAGAAAGGGAATCTACTCCAATTCCTTTATTTCCTCTCCATATTTGAATATATTCAATTACATTCATTTATTTAATTTGTGTGTGTGTCGTGCGTGCCTGTATGTGTTACATGTACCTTGTGCATGTAGGTGTCCACAGAGGCCAGAAAAAGGGCATCATACACTCTAGAATTGGAGTTATAGACCGTTGTGAGCCACCAGATATGGGCGCTGGGAACCGAACCCAGGTCCTCTGCAAGAACAGCAAGGTGCTCTTAATTGCTGAGCCACCTCTCCAGTCATGATTATTTTACATTTTAAGGGATCGAGACATAAGAAAGTAAGTGAAATGCAAAACTGAAGTATAGGTGAGATACAAGGAAATGGCAAAGCCTGGCCTCTATTTCAATATAGTACAACACACACACACACACACACACACGCATATACACACACGCACACAATCACACATCTGCAATCACACACACGCATGTGTGCACACACATATACACACATGCACACACACATATACACACAGGCATACAAAGAGACAAAGCTAGAGACAGGGGCTCACAGTATACCTCAGGCTAACCTGGGACATACTATGTAGCTAAACTTAGCCTTGACCTCACATCCTACCACCTTAGCCCCCTGAGCCCTGGGATTACAGGTGTGTTCCATACCTGGCTCATTCTGAATATTCTTTCTGCCAGAAGATGGCTTGTTTTGTTGTGTTTGTTCTTTGGCTGATGCAGAGAAAGATTATGAGTTATGGAGCCGGAAAGCTCTCCAAACTTGGGTATCCATGCAGGAAGCACTTTACCCACCGAGCCATCTCCCCATCCTTGAAAAGCTGAGACCAAATGGTTCAGAGACCATTTGATAGAAAACAATCCCATAATTAGAAAAGGTTCAAGTTAATTCTTTCCTCTTCATGCACAAGTCACTGTCAGAAGAATGTTTTAAAATTCCTAAAGTTACCTGAGGGATTTGCACTAAGTGAGAATTACAAACTGGGGGTTCTGGCTTTCTTCAGTTCATCAAAGCCAGTTCTATAAGGAAATGCTGAGGCCTTATCTAATTATAAAAGATGAAGCATCTCAAAACATGGCAAATAAATCAGGCACTGTCACCCCTATTTAGCCACAGTCACCAACAGCTACCTGCTGTTCTCTATCTGGCACCCACTGAATGTTACCTATCTACGTAGCGATTAGGAGTTGGCTTGTAGGCGACTGCGGCCTCCCCTTGGTCCAGATGTGGCCCTCTCGGGTACATGTTGTTATTGAATGCATACCCATCTGCTGGAGGGTATTCCGACACACTGGAATGCTGAAAGACAGAGCAGGCTTAATTAAAGAACAGCAGTTACATCAGAGAATCACCAAACAGCTCAAATCAGTCAACAAGACCCCTGTGCTAAGCTATGACTGGTTTCCATTGTCAGGAGACAGCACTATGAAATAGGAGTGATTGATTTTGTCTAGAAACTACTTAGAAAAAAGAAAATCATTTACATGCAAAGTAAATCTTAATTCTGAAAATACCAGATGTGAAAGTACGAAGTTGTTTTCTGAGGGATTTCAGTAATAGATGATTTTGATATTAGACAGACTTCAACATTATAAATGATAAAATTGGGGGTGGGGTCTTTTAACACCTTTACCGCTCCAGCAAAGTAAATATTGCCAAATGAAAATCCTCAGCATTCTGTGCAATGGAACTACATTACTCAATTTTTTTCACTTTTGTTTTATGTATGTATCTTTTTTGAGACAAAGTCTCCCTGTAGCTCCAGCTATCCTGGAACTCACTGTGTAGACCAGGCTGGCCTCGAACTCACAGAGATCTACCTGCCTCTGCCTCCCAAGTGCTGGGACTAAAGGCATGTGCCACCATGCCCAGCTCTTTTTACTCATTTTTAAAAAGCACCCAAGACACTATGGGGGGCAGGGTTCTTTTGAGACAGCTGGCCTGGAACTTGCTATGTAGACTAGGTTGGCCTAGATCTCACAGAGATGTGCCTGCTTCTGCTTCCCAAGTGGTAAGATAACAGCTGTGTACCACCATGCCCCAGCAAAAACAACATTTTAAAATTCTGTCACAAATAACAAGACTGTCATCAAAATGACTATTAAAGACACAAAAAAAAGCCCACAAAAATATTAATTTTGGCAATCGAGAGTTCAGGGTAAGATAATTCTTGAGTCTTTTCTTCAGTCAACACAATACAGACAGAAATCTACTGGGTGCCACCAAGGGAGAGCTGAGGTCTGTGGGACCCTTTGAGTAGTGTGGTTTTAAATCCATGGGGTCACGTACACAGACTGGAAGGAAAACAAACCAAAATGTCCCCTTCCAACTTCACACGGTTTCCTTACGTAAAAGGAAGTCTGGGAGAAGCCTGCTTGATGATGAAGTATTTGAATTCCCTGGAGTTTCAATTGTTTATGAGGCAAAATGTCTGAAACTGGGCAGACTTCAGGAAAGAACTGCCTGGATGGTTACAACAGTCAATTCTAATGAGAAGGTTGGAGGGGTTAAGGCTGAGGTACTCTACAGGTAGTATCGCCAATGGACCAGTGTGAATGTCAAAAAACCCAACTGGGGGCTGGGGAGATGGCTCAGCAGTTAAGAGCAGTGGCTACTCTTACAGAGGACCTAGTTCTGGTTCCCAGTAGCTACCACATGGTAGCTAATAACCATCCATAACTCCAGTTCCAGGAGATCCAACACCCTCTTCTGACCTCTGTGGGTACTGCATGCATACAGTGCACTTACATACATGTAGGCAATACCCTCATACACATAAAATAAAAATAAATAAATCCAAAAAAAAATTTAAAGACTCAACTACGTTATTCACTTGGAATATTTATCAGGCAATAGCTCTTCACACACAAACAGATGTTTCTCAGTCATTTAAACACCTGGGCCCAATCAATTTGATTTATCATTTCCCTGGGAGACAGCAGAGGCAGTAGATTCAACTAAATAATTTCTTTTTTAAATGAAAGACTCTTATGAAATGGAGCCAGCAATGACTAGAGCTGTTCCAGCTTTTGCCTAGTCCTCAGACAGAGGAGTTCCTCACTGGTGTGAAATCATGGGGTCTGAAGAACAAACGGGCGTGCCAAAAGGGAGGGGGGCAATGCTAGGGATGACTAAGGGATGATTGCACAGCTTGGCTGGGTGGCTCTGGGGTCACAGGAAGTAGGGCAGCTGACACTGCCCACACTCATCACTCCAAGTCATCTAAGTCTTTCAGTTCCAAAGAAAATCACCAGATCCAGAATTGCCCAAGACTTGATGCAATCAATGGGTTTGTTATAGGAGCAATAAAATATAATAAAGTCTCTCTTATAGTCATGGTTACAATTCTTAGGCACTTAAATCACCATCATTTGCCCCTTTCCCCCCACAAAATTTCAAGGTAGAAGACAACTTTTAATTCACCTTTTAAGCCTCAGAATGACCACTTAAGTCATAAAATGGAAAATATTCTACAACAGGAAAATGACAGTTCATGACAAGGAGGGATGCTCAATAATTCGTCTTTTACAATTACTATTTGGTAGGAGCAACAGACTCAGGATAGAACACACACACACACTACTTTCTCTTTAAATACAGAAACCGAAAAAGGACTTGCAAAAGTGTGAATTTCTTTTATAAAGTGGGCATATTTTCCTGTTTAAGTTAAAAACGCTATAAGCTTGACATTTTTGTGACTGGAAAATAGCTGTCACCATAGCAACAGCAAGTGTATTATAATTTCATGTATGATTACATATTTTCCCTCTCTTACAGTTACTCTCTAAATGGAAAGAAAATTCATAGTCATGAGGTCTGGGCTATAAAATCCAGACAGAGATATGTGCTGGTCAGACAGTTCTCAGAGTGTGAGGTCATTGTAGCCGTTAGAAGAAAGGGCAGGGCTGGTCTACTATCCCTTTAGAGGCATTCAGGGTAAAAACAATTATACTAGGAGAAAGATTCTTCAAAGCAGTATGTTAGCTTTACTTTTAAAAATTCAGGACGGTACTAAATTTCCTTTTAAAACAATTTTGTGTTTTATATGTGCATATGTGTTTGAGTATGCATGTATGCACACGTGTGTGGTGTCCAGAGGTCAAAATGATGCCTTCATTATTGTTCTCCACTGGTTATTTGATTTTTATTTTTCAAGACAGGGTCTCCCTGTAACCCCAGCTGGCCTGAAACTCTCCATGTAGACCAGGCTGGCTGGCTTCAATCTCACAGAGATCCGCCTGCCTCTGCCTCCCAAGCACTGGGGTTAAAGTTGTGTGCCATCACACCCAGCTTCTCCTAAGGAATTTTAAAAAGAGAGTGACTCAGACTTTAGGATCTGTCATCCACTGTTTTATTCCACACTAGACCTCACAGAAGTCATTCATCTGACTGCTCTGCATCTGATCAGACTCATTTGTATCTGACACAGCTTTAAACACTGTTCAATTTTCTTTTCTAATAGGACTCCAAAAGCCATAGGAAAATCATTTGGAAAGAATGTGATAAGTCAATATATTCAATTCCATTCCCTTGACTTGCTTCCCAACAAATTACACTCTAAAGCTTAATAAATACTTTAAAGACACAATAGATCTCCTGCAGATATAAGAGTGATGTGAACCTTTATCTGAAGGCTGGATTCCACAAAATCTTTGCTTTTCTAGCGAGGGGGAACTTCAGAGGATTAGAAGAGGAGGAAAAGGAAGACAGGACAGAGGAGGGACAGGAGGAGGGAAAAAAAGGAGGGAAAGAGGAGGGGGAGAGGGAGGGGAGGAGGGTGAAGAGGAGGAGGAAGAGGAGGAGGAGGGGAAGGAAAAAGAGGAGGGAGAAGAGGAAGAGGAGGAGGAGGGTGAAGGGGAGGAGGAAGAGGAGGAGGAGGGAGAAGAGCAGGAGGATGCAGAGGAGGAGGAGGACGAAGGCTAAGATGGAGGACGGAGGATGGAGGAGGAGGTGGGGGGATATAGACAGCACTCAAACTCTGGTGTCTGATAGCTGATCTCTGTTCTCCACATGCATGTGTACCCACACTCACACATATACCCATGGACACATGGATACACATACACACACATACAAGGTAAACTCTGGATGTATACGCATAGAGAGGAAGGGCACTGAGAAGAGACGCAGGAAGAGGCTGGTCATCCAGAAGACTCAGAGAGAGGCCCAGAGTCGATCCCTTCCTCTCAGCCCACAGGGCTGCCCTGTAACACCAGCCTCAGACTTCAGCCCCCAGAGCTGACAACACGTGTGGGTACTTTGCTGCAACCTCCCTAAGAACTAGTACAGCTTCAATTTGGGTATAGTCTTCTTTGCTGAGGCTAAAGCCTTAATTTATAATGTGATCCTTTTTTTTTTTCAACCAAGGCAAATAGTCCACTGAGACCAGAAAGTGAAGTTTGCTCAGCTGGGGGAATTCCTCACCAGTACAAGTTCATCTTTTAAAATCACCACTGACTGGTAAGTCACTGTGAGGACAGGCTGATGGGTAGTGTCTCACCTGGATTAGCGAGGCGGCTACTCGTGGGTCCCAAAATCTGATAAGGATCTACGGCAGAGAGAAAAGAAGTAAATTTCGGAGATAATGGCTGGGAAATAAATTTCACACGATGAAATTCGGGTTGACAGACTTGTGCTTACATGG